GTTTGTTTTTGTAATATTCACCAACTTATCCGATTGATGTTTAACATTAGCATCATATGTACGTTTTTCAAAACCTAACAACTCACCGATATTATTAGGCATAGACAAAACTATAGATTCACTACACAGCATTTCACATTTTAACGTATTATTATTCCCCTTCAACTCGAACGATATCTTTGAATCAGTTAGTATATGCTTTATTACCGCTTCAATTTCACTCAACTCATAAGAGCCTGTAGGTAATGAGTAGATGCGAGGCGTTGTAACTCCCATATCATTCTTATTAATAAATCCTATTTGATTACACTTGCTGTTTATATTAGGAATAGAATTGTTTGTCTGAAAACCTAATAGACAGATCTTAGCATTTTTACTGACTTCTATCGGTGGGAAAAAGTCACAAGATAATTCACTGGAGTTACCGTTTAACGTTATAGTGTACATGATAAAAATCTTAGACACAAATGACCGCAGTTTGTTGTATTGTATTTCTGATGTCTATCGTAATTATATTCAATATTACAATCGTTGAAATATTTCTGTAATTCTAGTGGTGGGGGTAAATTTCCAAAACTATCGTAATATTTAACTTGTTTACCGATTTTTCTATACGCTACCCAATGAGTTCCTTCACCCTTTTCGACATCCAAATTAACTATAGCTGACTCACAATGTTTATAATGTAAAGGCAACCGGTCTCGGGAAAATACTCCAATGAAATGAGGTATTTTCAACAAGTCAATGTATTTTATAATCTCGTAATCATACAATGCTCTATCGGGTAGCGTGTCAATTAGTTTTTTGTCGGTTTTCTAGATTTATTTACCACTGACCCACCTTTATACGGTGCTAGGAATAAACCTTTACCTTTAACGATTTTATAAGAACTCCCCTTATATGGCGTGAGATATAAACCCTTACCTAAGTGAATAGGGGTGTTTTTATTAGATTTTAAATCATTCATGACTTTTACTATATTACCGATACCACCAGTAAGCGCACCTAATGCAGATAAACCGGCAAAAATAGGTATTAAAGGTAAAACACCTCCCTTTTTAGGAATTGGAATAATTCTAGGAGTTTTAGTTTTCTTGGTTTTCGATTTTTTAGCCGCTGTCAGACAAGTTCTTATCAGTTTAGTTATATTCTTTTCTTTCAGCTTATTTTTGATTGACTTTTTAGCAGCCGCAACCATTTGTTTAAATCCACAACCGGCCCCCATCTTACGTTTGACTTTCATGGCTGTAGTAACCAACCAAGATGCAGCTTTTTCCTTAATACCAGTGTTTTTAGATTTAAACACCTCCCAAGCTTGATTTTCTAATATTTCATCAGCCCTGTGTCTATCCGCTAATGAATTACTTCTATCATACGCGATGTCATGAGCTCTAGCCAACTCATCTAGACTGTTTACACCTCGATCACCTCGTGCCAGCCTTTCTTTTAGTTTAGTACCAGGACCAGCAAAACTGTAATGAAACACAATGTTTAGATATAATCGAATAATGTGATGGTAGTGATGACTCACCGATAACCGGGTAGATGTAATTCTACTGGTAAATGGTTTATAACCGAGTTAATGAGACCCGAACCCTTATTGTTGTTCCGTTTACGAACGTGAGACATCGTGTGACGTCTTCATAGACAATACATTTGTATTTATAGTGAAACATCTACCAGGGAAAATGCGTTTTATAGAGCAAGAGAAAAAACTTCAAATATATAACATTGATACCCCGGATACAATACAGCATAGACATGGTGACCTATTCCCAAATACGATACGATCGTTGATCTTAGGGAGTTCGGGATGTGGCAAGACGAATTTGATATACTTTCTACTCGTTGATGAAAACGGGCTTCGATTTGAAAACGTTTACATATACTCTAAAACCCTGGAGCAACCGAAGTATAAATTACTGAAACGTATTATCGATGGTATTGATGGAGTCAAACTGTTTACATTTTTTGAGAACGATAAGGTCACCACACCTGAAAAAGTATTACCAAACTCTATATTTATCATGGATGATGTTATCGGGGAACAGCAAGGTGTTATAAGGGAATATTTTTCCAGAGGGCGACATAATAAAGTAGATATATTCTATCTAGCTCAGAGTTATTCGAAAGTACCTAAACAACTGATACGCGATAATGCTAATTTAATAGTATTGTTCAAACAAGATGAAACTAATTTAAAACATGTATATAATGAACACTGTTCCGGTGATATGTCATATATTCAATTCAAACAATTTTGCACTGTGTGCTGGAATCGCGATAGGTTTGCATTTATAGTTATTTGTAAAGATAGTGAACGTGATAACGGGCGTTATCGATTTGGGTTCGACACCTATGTGGTTATATAAGTTAGTGTTTATAGTAAAAAGTATCATTTAAAACGCAGTCATGAAGGATGGTAGTAATATATTAGAGGAGTTGGTCAAGGCCAAGGAAAGTATAAAACGTAAATATTCTACGTTAAAAACTGGTGAAGCTAATGTTCAACAGTTAATGGCGCAGACTTTCAAACCTATTATAGATCCTTTAACTAAAATATCGAATACACGTGATTTATACACTAATCAGACCGAGAAAGAAGATAAACCTGTTGGGTTGGATTCTGAAATCATTAATATCAATGAGGAAAATTATCAGCGAGGAATTGAAAATTGGTTTCAGTCACCGGATATAGATAGAACATTTGGTCCGAAAAAACTCGTAAACGGTGATATTATCTTAGGTGATAAAGAAGTAAAATTCACTCAACGAATAATAATTATCGATGAGCGTAGTTATCCAACAACCTCGGGTATTATTCAACTATTGTTTTTGAAAAACCCCACCATTTATACGGATAATGATTTGAAGGTTTACAAATCGATATTAGTTCAAACATCAGCACATTTAACCGCAGGTGGTTTAAAAATAAGAAATACCAAATGTAAAAAATATAAAAATATTATAAGTAAATTATTCCCCACCGGTGGCGGTGAACTGTCTATGAAAGTACAGAAAAACAACTTAGTGTATTGGGACGACCCAAACGAGTTGGTCGATAGACTTCGATTACTTCTAGCGTCGAAATCAGCTGGTAATACAGGTGTATCGAATGAGATAATATCTATTTTCGAAGAATTACGTGAGGCTGGGTTAATCAAACGAATTCCAAATGTCTAAACGTGAAATTGCTATTGAGCTCCATAAACCATCGCGGCGAAATTTCACAAGGCGTAGAGTTAACATATATGGAAAAAATGATTTGTGGCAAGCTGACTTGGTTGAAATGATACCATATTCGGGGAAAAACAAAGGCTACAAGTATATTTTATGTGTAATTGATTGTTTTACTAAATTTGCATGGGCTCTACCTTTGAGAACGAAAACAGGTAAAGAAGTTACTAGTGTTATGTCTAAAATATTACACGATCGCTCGCCAAAACTTCTACAATTGGACAATGGGAAGGAGTTTTATAACAAGACGTTTGATGAGTTGATGGATAAATATGGTATACACAAATATTCTACATACAGTATCATGAAAGCATGTATTGTTGAGCGCTTCAATCGTACGCTAAAAGAGAAAATGTTTAGAGAGTTTACTGCCCAAGGCTCTCACGAATGGATTTCTATTCTACCAAGGTTGCTTAGGGAATATAATAATTCAAAACACAGAACTATTGGAATGACACCGGTACAGGCGGATGCAGACCCTCTTACGGTGGAAATAAAGCAACGTGAAATCAATAATGTAAAAATTAAATTCAAAGTAGGTGATAACGTTCGGGTTAGTACCCAAAAAGGGGTGTTTACAAAAGGTTATTTACCAAACTGGTCTACGGAAATATTTGAAATTATCAAAATAAATAAAACATTACCCGTTACATATCAGTTGCAAGACTATACTGGAAAACCGATTGCTGGATGTTTTTATTCCGAGGAAATACACAAGACTAATCACCGAAATGAGTATTTAATCGAGAAAATTATACGTAAAAAAGGTAATCAAGTGTTTGTCAAGTGGTTGGGATTTGATGCGACGCATAATAGTTGGTTAAAAGCTAGCGACCTTAAATTGTGACCGTCCAATTCAGTAGTATATTCATATTCAACTGAATAACACGTATCGATAATGGATATTTTCAATAACTCTATCGATGGACGTAGAAAGAATATTATTTCACATATTCATTCGAGTAATAAAACAATTCTGTACGATGTAAAATTATTGAAGGGGCAAATAGATGGTATGAAAAGTTATATCACAAATCTCGAAGAGAAATTAAAATCGATGGAGGGTGATATACAACGCAACAATAGGTCTTTATTAAATTCTGATAACCGTGTTTCAGAACTATTTAATAACTATATCGAAAGTAGTACAGTAATTAGTTTAACTCGAGAAGATATCGCTCGTTTAAATAATATATTAAGTGATATCAATGGAGAATTTTATGAAAATTCCCTGCCCAATCACGGATCGTATATTTCAGACTTACTTACACGTGTGAAAAATATCGAAGACAATTATGTTAGGAAGAATTAACTTTTAGTATACTCTATGACCTCGATAGATGTACCTGCATACACACATAAAAGTTGAGTTTAATGCACTAGGTATTTGAAAACTCATTTCAGTAGTATAATACGATTCGTATGGACAACATGTATATTGATTATGGATATTTTCAATAATTCACTGGACGGACGTAGAAAAAATACTATTTCATACATTCAATCGAGTAACAAAACGATTCTATACGATACAAAGCTACTGCAGTCGGAGATAGGTACTCTGAAAGGTGATATCACAGATCTACAAGTGAAGATAAAATCGTTAGAAGACGATATTCGGCGAGGTACAAAATCTCTATTAGAGTCTGAAACTCGTATCAGAAAACCTTTATCAGATCTAGCGTCGTTTATTTCAGTCCTGGAAAAACGTTTGAAGACTATCGAGAATAGATATAATATTTTAGAATAAAATATCGAAAATAATGTCGGCTATCGTAGACATCCAGTGCGTTCTCGGGGCTGACAATAAATATATGATAAAAGAAATGTCTGTGGTGGACACGGAAACATGGGCGTGCCAACACTGGATTTTCAAGAATTCCAACTCTAAACAGGACAATAAGAGTCGGAAAACGAACAAATGGCTTGAACGTAATTATCATCAACTATCTCTGGAATATGGTGATGTCGAGTACGAGGAGCTCGGTCGGGTATTGAATTCACTGAAGTTCGACTGTATTTACGTGAAGGGTGAGCAGAAAAAACAACTTCTCATGGAACATATTCCACACGTTGCACTCGTCAACATCGAAGATATGGGTTGTCCTCGATTGGATCAAATATGTGGTGGTGGTGATATGACTCTACCCTGCTGTATTTTTCACATGGAGTTCAACCCCAAACAATGTACGTTCTACAAAGTTTTCGCCATACGTAAATGGTTTATAAATAATTCTTAAATCGTATAATACAAGGCAAGGCACGGCACGGCACAGCACGGTGCGGCACGGCACAAGCACTCACGGAACGGCATGGCAGGTGCACCAGCTCAACATTGTTTAATATTAATATTTATGTATTTAACTAACGTATCTAATTGTATATATTATATTTTTAATTACACATGGAACTATTATATTATATATTTTACTAACATATACAATTGCATATATTTTTTATTTAATTATACACATATTATTATACTATTATATCACAATTATTTAAACAAGTCTATAAAATACAATATAATTATAATACATACAAGTGGAGTTATATACGCAAAGTAAATATATACGACATAATATCACACGCGTAACGCGTAATGACCGTAGGCGCGTGTACGTACCCGATCGTCGTCGACAACGCGCTTATCGTCGAAACGATTAAGTGTCATTTTCATGGTCTTAATCGTTTTGACGCGGTGCTCGAACGATCGGATCGACACGTTTTGCCTATACGGTGTATACGGCGTGTACGGTGGAAGCGGTGTTGGGGTGAATTCCACGCCATCAATTGCGGCGGCGGTAGCGGCGGCGGCATTCTCATGGATCGTGCTGATGACCGATCGGGCCATCAGACGCGCACGTCGTTTCAGCTCCTCACCCTTTAACGTAGCGTCATCGTCAAAGTCGTCCTCCATGTAGTCGTCTTCGTCGTCATCACCCACCTCCTCACTCTCGACACCATCCGCAGCGTCGTCGTCGTCGTCGTCGACCTCGAACAGACAGCGCTTGTGGTCCTCGAACGTCATATGATTTCGGACCACATGCCCTCGAATCCCCTTGGCCACGAGTTTTTCGTCCCCTTCGAGTTTGTACGCGTAAGATTTCGCCCGGAGTGCAATAAACTCGTACATAACCCTGGAGGCCGTCTCGTCCTTGAACAGTCCGGGGATCTTCTTACGCGTACCTACGTAGCAGGGGTGTGTGACAGGTAGATTCGAGGTGTCCATCCGTTCGAGGAGCGCGGGGTTGTCCAGCAGGTCCTTGTAAAAGTCGTCCGTGTGAATCCGATAGATCAGGGAATCTATAAAATCATTACGTACGTTAGATATTATATGGGTGTAAATAATATTATTTCGTAAATACCTGTATCCATATACATCAGTCTAATCGAGTCGTTGTAATGCCTCCGCATCACATTGTAATGGTAATCATACATTAACTCCTTGCTTATTTCGAGGACGGCGAAACCTACGTAAATAGGCTTGGAGAAATGTATGTCACTATGTTGTAGGGATACGGCGGCCAGATTCTCGGTGTACGTGGTGACGTGTTTGAAGGTGGGTTTGTTAATTAGCTTCCGCATTCGTCGGGGACAGGACACCAATTCCATGGAAATACGATTTCTAACGCATTCCATAGTCTTCCCTGGAAATTAGAATAATATTGCAAAATGATAGTGTGTTAATGATAGACTTATATCATTGAGATATTTACCAAACACAGCGTTGTTAAGTAGTTTGAAGAAATCACGTTCAAATTCATTGCAGGCCTTCTTTCTCATTTCGGTATTTAGATTTATATATTTAGCAAGCCATGCCGACTGTTGGAATTCCAACACCCTGTGAACCTATAATTATTTATCGAGGTTAATTTCACGTAATTAAGTTGGATTATATATATTACTTTTTCCACTATCAATCCATTAGCAATGGCCTGCTTTAAATTCCTATAGTGTACAATATACCGTTCTTTCCTTTCCAACGTAGCCATTAATTTATTCACTTTTGAGCCTGGGGGTACGGCATTCCGAGGTAAGAAGGGGAGATCGTTGTGCGCGTCATGCAGGTGGTCTGGGTATGCGATATCGACCTCGTAGATACGCCCAACGTCGGATTTGTCAGTCATACCGTCCAACAGCTCTAGAGAGCGATCCAAATCCCCCTCGTACCACTTGAACCCTCCGTGGGGCATGTATTCCCCCATGGCGTACCCGTACAAGTTGTTGCCTGCAATAATAGGTTTAGAATTAGTAATATAATAATTAATTGTATATACGTTGTATATTTACAATCCTGGTAGACGAGCCACGACGGTGGTTTCTCAGCATCGTACCCCGGCGTCTTGGGGTTGTTTGCCCGACAGTACCGTTCGCTGGCCTGGACCAACCCCCCTCTTATCCCTTGTTCCATAAAGAGCACCATGTCGTAATCGGTCAGTAACTCCAGTTTGACACCCGTATACCTCAACATGGCGTCGAACGTAAACCCCGGCGCAGTATAATAATACACGGGGTCGAGGTTGTACGTTGACATGCATAGGTCACGGAAGTTCTCCATCACGTCTGCCAGAAGGAGAACGTCGACCTTCAGGTATAGGTCGCTGTAGTCTCCGAGGGTCTTGCAATTGAAATGCTCCCACACCTCCGTTGCATGTACGTAGTCCTCGTCACTAACGTGCTTCTCCAATAGCATACTATAGAACTCACGTTTCGGCGGCAGGGCGGTCTCCTCGAGCCTCGACCATTTGTCAGTATATTCATACGGAAACACACCCTTTCGCGTGACGAGCGGCATGTCGGCGGGTCGGAACACCTTGGCGGTCTCGCGGAACTTTTCAAAGTCACCGGGCTTCGTGAGGAGGTTTCCGGCCAACTCGGCCAGGCTCGAGGCCATGAACCGGCATGAGTCCAAGAACCTCACACTAAAGTCGGGTGAGACACGCTTCGAGAAGGAGATATAGTTCTCCTCACTGTTGGGGATTACCGTTATCGACTCCTTATCGTAACCGAGTTCGGTTACGATAAAGTGTGAGTCATATTTCGAGAGGTTGTGCAGGAAGCACGGTACAAACTTGGGTGTGACGAGCTTGAGGTTACACGGTGAGCAAAGTGTGTGCCTCAACCGTCCCGACAGATGACAGTGGTCGGCGACTTTACACCTGACCTCGGTGAACGGTAGCTCACACATATCACACACACTCTTCGCGTTATGCACACGCAGTTCCTCCACACTCATCGAAATCGGTACATTAGTCGCTTTCAGTAGGTTCCCCAACCTGAGGGTGAGCGCGGTCACAGTGGCGACAAAGTGTTTGGCCACCTCATCACGCGATTCCGACCCGCGATATATTACAGGCACCTGCGGTATGTCGTATTTCTCCATCAATTCTACGGGTACGTCCACCGCCGCCTTGACAAAGTACCCGTAGCTCATTGGGTGATGTGCATGTATCCCGTCGGTGCTTGCCCCCACCCGCTCCGTCTGTTTTTCGAGTAGGGCTTCAAAGTCTGCGTATATCGTAAACGGATGACGCTGCATGCTACCCCACCCGTTAAACTTGAGCACTTCCCCCTCCTCCGGCATAACAGGTAAAATTGGTTTATTCGGCCCGCATAGTCGCATGTGTTGTTGGAGAGCCTCATTACCACACAATTTATTTTTTTTCACCTGCTCATCGAACGAGGTGAAACACCTCTTACATATAAAAAGTCGATTGGTGTGTAATGTTTTCTGACTCCGCACCAGTCGTGAAAAATTCGATATGTATGTATAGTGTATCCGCTCCGAGCCTTCAATTACGAGAAGATCAAAATGTTCAGCCTTCTCGTTTTCAACGACCTTGATCGGATACACTACACTCCCCTTTCCTACTTTTTCCCCCTTACCATCCTTTCCCAATTTTCCCCCCTTACCCCCCTTACCAGGTTTCAATCCGTATACGTTTACCGACACCCCCTTATTCCGTCGTTCGAATATACGGATTTCCGATATTGGTGTCGGGGAGGATAATTCGGAAAAATCGTATCGATACTCCTCATTATAATAATTTCGACCTACACGACTTTGGTGGTCTACTGGAACGTGTCTAGCTAGAATAGCCCACTTGAAACACTCGTCGTCAATGTTCATGGGATTAATGACAGCTTTTTTCCGCATAATGTTCTCTGGGAGTGGAATATACGAGGACCCTCCAAGAGGGGTATGCTCATAGATACCTAGTAACAAGCCATCGATAATGGATAGGGTGAAGCCCGACCCCTTTTTCATATACCTATCCTCCTCCGACATGAGTGCTGCAAAGTCCTCATCGATCATAGCACTCACATCGCTATGGATGTACACCTCCCTCGACACGGTTTTAAATGCCCTATCCTCGGCTGGTAATTCCCTATGTACATATATGCTCTCCAACTTCAAATTATATTTTATGGGGTTAATACGTACACAATCGTTGATTTTATTCACCAATTCGAGTTTTATCGAGTCTAAAAACGGTGGATAACTCACATAGTTCTCGGTATTACCTCTATAATACCATACTATACTCCTATCCAGCGAAGAGTCGAGCTCGATAAAACCCGGTGTATTAACCATTCCTATGCGAGCCTTTTTAAATTTTACGATGTTACGCGCCGAGTTGGTTTTAGTACGTTTAACTGACGGAGTGGTAGGGGTGGGGGGTTGCGGCGAAATAATAACATTCACATTAGACGTGGATGGTATACTACCTACGATATCCATACCTTATAAAAATAATTATAATTATTATTTTTGAATCTAATACGATCTAATAATATAATAATGATTACTCACTTAATGACTGTTGTTGTTGTTGCTGCTGCTGTCCAACCGTGATACCCATAGCCGAATTGTATTCAACACCATATTTAACGAAACCTAATAAGAGTGAAATATAGAATAAAAGGCTGTTATTATGACTTATAATCTATACTAGGTACTAAATACGTGATAAATTATCATATAAATTAGTATAATATTAATAATATTCAAATTATTTATTCCTTAATATATGTAATTGTACACGTTATACAATTTTATATTCATGTAATATAACTATAACAATTCTATGGAAATTGATGTCAGTAAATAATTATTGATTATTAGTAAAAATACTTTAGTAATGAAATATATACTAGGATTATGTTATTCGAATTATTATTGTATTCATTTAGAGTGGAATCGGTTATCCGTTTAATTTATTTATCGATATATAGAAAATTCTATATTTGTTATTTATAGTCCTAAGTCACTAATATTATAATATACTTATAGATAATATAAAATTAAATACATACCGTGTTTTTTCTGTACATGATTCACGAGGTGATCTCGACGATTAAAATACTGTTTGCAGTGACCGCATTGAAATTTCATCTGATCGTGAGATTTTGTATGCCTCAACATATTACACTTCACAGTGAAAACTTTATCGCAAACATTACAACTGAACATTTTTACTGATATGTAATAAACACTAGGTAAAGAATAATAGTAGCACGTAGACTGTCTGTAAGAGCATGAAGAACAGTATAACTCCTTTGAGTGAAATCAGCTCTCTTATATACAATTCACCTACCCACTCCATACAGCTATAAGTCACGTGATAAATATCTATTCACCATATTATATCGTAATATATTAATACTTATAATTAAGTAATAGAAAAGTCGTGTCACACTAAACATTTCATAATAAACATCTTTAAATTATCTTTTCCTAATGACTTCTGCCTGAAGGAGAAATCGTATATACCTAGTAACAGTAAGGTGTTAGAAAAAATGTTAAGTTGTCTTTTCCTAATGACTTCTGTCTGAAGGATAAATCGTATATACCTAGTAACAGTAAGGTGTTAGAAAAAATGTTAAGTTATTATAATATTACTACTGATATACTGTATGAGCGTATACATCGAACAACGATTAGGATTCGTTTTAATCCTTTTGTTTACTATAATTTATAAGTCGTTATAGAGTTAATAAATAATTACTATCATAATATGTCACATACGGATACTTTCATATTTCACATCGAAAGAAGATAATGAGGTGTCGTTAATAATTACTTATTTATGTTATATATTAACTATTAATGTTTATCAGTTACTAGCTTTCTATGAACTATAATTAACTAATGTATTATTTTGATAAATATGCATTTTATATCTGACTTCAAATATCTATAGTATGTTATATTTTAATAAAATCTTATTAAGTATTTTCAATGCTCGACAGTAGTTCAGGGGGGGGGGGGTAAGCAGGTGATAGGCCATGCACGTTATAGGATGAGAGGGGTAAGGCCGTGCACGTTCGTGATAGGATGGGAGGGGCAAGGTCGGGCACGTTCGCGATAGGATGGGAGGGGGTAAGGCTGGGCACGTTCGCGATAGGATGGGAGGGGAAAGGCTGGGCACGTTCGCGATAGGAGGGGGGGGATGCTCGCGTACGTGAGGATGGGAGGGAAGGGGGGATGCTTGCGAACGTACGCGACTATAGGCTGGGCGGGGTAATGGGATTTGTGGGATTTGCGGGGGGCCCAGAACATACTAAAACATACTACTTATGATTCGCATATCTACCTATTATCTTAAATTGATCAGCGATTCTTTGGTTACAGCTGTATGAACTCGTATTAAATTTCCAAGCCTTCGATATAAAAATTTAACTACCCACACAATTTGCAAATTTTCATGATTTCGACGAATTTTGTCAAAATTACTGGGGATTTTAAATTTATACATAGGTACATACCTAAATCATATTCTCTTACGAAAAATAATAGACCAGCTGCAAACCTCACATTGCATTTTGTTTGTTGTCCAGGTGATATTCGTCGAAATGTTTATTATATACGTTCGTCCGGTTACTAATAAAACACCAATTAATTTTCGTCATCTGTATAGTTTAGATTTCATACCCATCTCGTACAAAAATAATTATTTTAGTGTCCCTTTATATTATAACATTAATTAATATTTCAATAGTTATTACGATATTTTATTTCTAAAAACGCGATTTTAAGACATCTAAATGTGGAATGACAACAACCTACGGTATATCATAATATGAATGTGCATTCGGAAGACTTACCTTGACGTCCGACGGTAATATTTGACATTGTTAAAAAGTAATATACCTTTATCATTAATTCTGAGCGGTATAAGGTTTATTGGTTCTACAACGTTGTGAGCTTTTTAATATATTTTTTTAGTTTTTATATCAGAAAAATTCAAAAATTAATAATTGTGGTGACTTGAATTTTTAACCAAATATTTATATTAGCATCTTAAAACAAAATAAAAATTTCACAATATATACATTTAGCTTTTTGAGGTATTTATAAACATTTTAAATGTTTGACTAATTTTAGTATAATTTCCATTTACATATAGGTAAATTAAAAATATAAAAATAGGTACATAGTCATCAGTTTTATTTATATATGTAAGCGTTTAGAGTTCAAATTTTTACTAAATTTGATACTTTTAAAGAAAAATAATGATTACAGATGGTTACAAAAATATAATTCGTTGAGATTTAAAACTTTTCATCACTATACATATTACATATGATTATTTACTTATTTATTTATTTTGTGTATGAACACAAACACAATTACATTTTCCATATATTTAGTAAGGCTCGACATTCACAAGTTAAAAAGTTAAAGTTACTGAACTAGGTACTTTTGGCTTTTCATTAATTTAACTGTTAATTTACTAAATTTCTTTTTTGATTAACGTGAAATTAACGAGTAAGTACTTCATTTTAAGAAGTAGGTAAATTAAGTTAATTTATTTTGTTTTTACTTTAATTATATTTCACTATTTTAGTCTATTTAGTTTTCATGTCAAAAAATATGTGTAGTAAATTGTTTTAAGTTAAAAATGTACATCGTTCGAATCTAATTTATATGGAAATACTGTATAAAGTATTAACACTATACTACTATAGTCGCTAAATTATTTAATTTCTGGTTGGGAAAAAATTAAGTAGGTACGCTAGCGTTTTATAAACAAATTAATTTTTTTTTAACTTAATAAAAAGTTAACAAAAAGTGTGTATTAACTTTTAACTTAGCTGATTTAACCTATAGTTAAATTAACTTTTAACTTTTTGTTACTGGTGCACATTAACTTAACTTCACTGAGTTAAAAAAAATCATTAACTTGCCCAGCCTTCATATTTAGTATAGTTTCAAGATAATCATACCACAAACCTTTTAATATCATTATACATTTATTATTTATACGTTACTCCTATATTGACTTAAATTAATAAGAGCTAGTTATAATATTATAATTATATAATATACCTAAGTGATTTATTTATTTATTTTTTGCAAAAAATATTTAAACCGATCACGAATATCACGTATGGTAATACCTGGTACCTAGTAAATTACTAGTAATAACTAATGTATAAAAATAAATTACAACAGGCGAATTTACCTATTTTTTTTTTACGTTTTTAATTTGCGTACCTATCGGTTCTCTCCCCCGATGGGACCCACCTTGTCGTGGTGGGGGAGCTTGCGGGCTCAGGTATTCGATATCTGAGTCTCACTAAGAGGTCCTGAGCCAGCTCTTACTTTCACTAGTTGGGGCTGCCAAGGTTGAAGAGAGCCTTCTAGCTATTAGTAAATCTCTTCAAACCTCGCGGTAGGTTAAAACGCGAACCAAAAATATGCAAAATACAAATCACAAAAAAAACGTTACTGGTTCAGGGTGTAAGGATAGCCCAGGCCCGGCCGTTGGGAGCACGTGGTGCGCGTCCCAATGGTCGAATCGATCAAACTGTAGCACCACCACGGGTAATGCGCAACTGAATACGGAAATCGGATTAAATAAAGGAGATAAAACGATAACGGATTTGATTACGATCGGACCATTGGGAGCTGAAATAACGGGGTCGCTGGACAAGCTGTTCAATGAGATAAGCCAGCTGGTCATGGTACGGTGCAAGTACTTAGTGCCAATTCGCGACAGATCGTCTGTGGCACGTGACTCAGACGATGATTCTTCGGACTCGGACGAAGATGAATGCCGTCACCAGTCGGATGTGCGTCTACCGGAAAAGCCAAATGCAGAAATAGGCGTAGTAAGCACTCGCTATTATTTTCGCGTGGTAAAAAAATCACCACCGAGGTCAGCATCGCGCTTGTGGTTAGCGTTCGATGAGCGAATGAACAGGTCATTTAGTTCAGAATCGCAGTCTGAAGAATTGTGGTCATTGGACTTGGAGCAGCCGTGGCCATCGGACAGAGAGCTGTCCTCGGGATCAAGGTCACCGTCGGTAATAAGTCTGAAGGTAAAATCAGCATCCCATTCGGAGTTAAATCCAAAGTTAAATTGGTCAATAGAAGATGAGTTATTTTGGCCATCAAGCGTAATGCACGCGTGGTTTCCTTCTGACTCTGAGCTTTGGTCAGCATCGCACTCGGAGCTCCAGTGGTCATTGGACGATGAAGAAGTGCTGCCAACAAACGTAATGCAGATGTATCCAACGGACTCGGATCATTGGTCATCGTCGCACTCGGGGGTAAAGTGGACAACAGACGATGAACAATCTCTACCATCAAACTCAAAGCAAACGCTGTCATCGATGTCGGAACTTTGTTCAGAATCTAAATCGAAGCTTAAATGCACCACGGACGACGATAAACAACTGCAGCCATCAAACTCAAAACAAACGCGGTCATCGAAGTCGGGACTTTGTTCAGAATCTAAATCGAAGCTTAAATGCACCACGGACGACGATAAGCAACTGCATCCATCAAACTCAAAACAAACGCGGTCATCGAAGTTGGGACTTAATTCAGAATCAAACTCGAAGCTCAAGTGCCCAACGGACTATGAACAACTGCAGCCATCAACCGTAAAGCAGACGTGGCTAACAGATTCGGCGCTAAGGTTGCAATTGCACTCGGAGCTAATGTGGTCAACGAGCAAAGGGCAATTGGACAAGACAGACTCAAACCAGATGTGGCTGTCAGACTCGGACCTAAGGACGGCATCGTACTCAGATCTAATGGGGTCAACGGGATCAATGGATACAGACGAATTGGGACCTTCAGACTTAAAGCAGAAGTGGCCGATAGTCTCGGAGCTAAGGTCGGTAACGCTCTCGGAGCCATTGATGTCATCGGACGATGAGCAAATCTTTTCAATTGCTGATGAGCAAATGGTATCATTGCACGACGAGGAGGAGATAAACGTGGTAAGTATCAATGAGGCAGACGAAGATGCGACAGTGGCTGAACCGCCTACACCTAAACGTAGGTCGTTCCTGTCGGCGCTGGGGAGGCGAGTCCTGAGTGCCTGCAGAAAGCTGATTTGCTGCGGTGTCTGTGGTCGCTGCTGTAAACGATAAATGGCACCGGAAAAAATCACATTCAACGATATTAAATTCTATATTAGGTTGACAAAATTCTTGTTGATATAAAAATGACAAGATCGTCTTGTTGGTACTGACTTTACACAACCGTGTTATGAAAATGACAATACGCATATTCAATACTGCTAGATTAGTTTTATTGTTGATAATGATACTGTTTATTTTTTATAATTTGTTAATTACTGAGTATTTAATTAATAACTGCATTTTTTTTATACATTTAAACGAGCTTTTCCATAGTTATTTCTATATTTTAAAAATTATAACAACTATATTATTATTGTACAATGTTCAAAATATTTACATTTTTTTTTTTTTTTATAATTCATTTATTTGTTTATTCGTATACCTATTTAAGCTATAACAAAAAAAAAAAAAATTCAATAATCAATTTTGATGTTATTAATTCATAAGGTAATAAAAATATATTATCGTAAAAATGTTGTAGGTAGATGAATGAATATTGAATCTTATTCTATGTAATTTTTATATGATCAATTTAAACATATTGACATAATAATATAATACTAATATTAGAATAATAATTATTTATTTTAAGTAATTTATATTTTTTATATACTTGTATTATTTTGTTAATATTGTAATTATTGTTTTCATAAATAAATAAATATCTTATCTTATTAAGACCTAGGAACTGTCGTTGTTCAGATCAGATAAAATCTGGTCTAATATAATATGGCTTTATCACATTAACTACTTGCTAATATTTTCGAATGAAGAACCACACAAATTCCCAATCAAAGATTGTATTGGATATTTCAAATTTAATTGTAAAGCATACAACAATTGCCGATGGTATAGAAAAAAATTTAAATTTAATACAGCAAAATTAAAAAGTACAATTATTTCTTTGGTTTGGTAGAAGTTCCAAAATTCAGTATGAATGGCTGATTGGTATGGTTTAACTATGTTTAACTAAAGTCTAAAACTATGATTTATTGATTTGTATTGTAATCTTCGATTTTTGATATTGAGGTAGGTATATTAGAATTTAGAAACCATACAACTTTACACACTACCTTTATTTGAATAGCTACTTCACCAGATTGTTTCTGCCATTATTATCTCTAATGGCTGATGACTACCTATAATTAATAATTTATTGAAATAATTTTTTGAAATAAGGTAAATAAATAACAAAAAATGAGAAATTAATATTAATTTAACTTGTTTTAATATTTCTGATATAATATAATTAATGTTGAATAGTACAATCTCAATAATAATAATAATTGTTATTTATTCATCTTGAACTATATCTGGAAAATAATTAATATGTATGCTTTATTAAAATCCTTTCAGATTTAGAATCTATTTTAGATGGGCAATAGAATAAAATGCAGTATTTCGGTTATCACCAAGGCTTTAGATATCAGCCGTGGTTTGTAGTTATCACTTTACCAAAAGTGATAAGAGGCAAATGTACAGGAGCTATCAGATAGCTACTATCTAGTATTTAGACCGTGCGGCGTGCACGAAAGTACAAAACTAAAAACGCACAACGACGACTTCATAGACATAAATATTAAATACATAAACATAATATTATTTCTCAAGAAGTCAAGCCGAACTGCCGAACACGCTGGAAAAGCTCAAATACTATCTATAAAAGCTATTAATTTCTTATTATGATTGGACAGTAATAATTAACATCATCTCTTAAAAAAAAAAACAGTAAACCAAAGTTTTTAACACATCTGATAAGTTCTAACTATGTATTATACTACATTGTAAATATTATACAATTTCCACAATGTTTTGTATTCACAAAAATTTGTTGTTACAAACAATTGTTCGTCAATATAGTTCGTCGAAAAAAGATGGGAAGGTAAATTAATTAAGAAATAAGTGTTTACTTTTATTCATATTATGGTTTGTTTTTTTTTTGTTGCAGCCCATACGAAACTATTTAAAACAAAACTCAAAATTTTTGGATTCGTTGAGAATACATGTGAAAGGTGGAAATGGTGGTTTTGGTTTTCCCCGGTACGGTGGTGAGGGTGGTAAAGGAGGCGATGTCTGCTTTGTAGCTACAGAAGGTACCTATCTATTGAAGTATAGGTATATTTTATATATTATATTATATTATCTACATAGTTTAATCTTGGCAATTTAAGGGGATTCGATACCGTGATTTTCTGTTTTTCTCAAACATTTTTTAGACGGGTTCTTTGCCAAACATACCAATTGATCTAATGAAGCGGTATGAATTCTAAAAACATATTTAAATTTGTCGTCAAGACTACTTGAAATCGACTTTCCCACATTTTTGATTTTTTGATTTTAACTTCTCCAAAAGTTGAAATACAAACATTTTTAAATACTCTTTTTTTTTTTATGACAATTTTAAGAATTTGGGTTATCATATCAAAAATTTGGGAAAGTCGATCTCAAGTAGACTTGACGACAAATTCAAACCTGTTTTCAGAATTCTTATTGCTTCATTAGATCAATTGGTATGTTTGGCCAAAACACGTCTAAAATACTATGTCGCGAGTGTGTTAGACAAAAACAGAAAATCACGGTATCGAATCCCCTTAACAGAAATATCTATAGGATACTAAGTTTGATTTATTTATTTTTTAATTATTTAATTGATTGCGTCAACATACTTTATGTTTTTACAATGTTACAAAATAAAAATTGTATAAACAATACATAGAGAAACATCTTCTTTATTAGTGTGTGGTTTGTCTTCTAGGAAGATATCTTGAGGTCAATTTTGTGTTGATTTTGGTTTAGAGATTTTTCCCTGAAGAGGATTTAATTTAATGTTACAATGTTAAATATATATTATATTTCATGATTATTATTATACTTTATTATTATTGTGGTTATAAATTAATGATTTAGTAATTAGTATTACAAAATATGATACCTAACAAAAATTGTTTAAATCTAAAAATCAAATATCAAGATATGTTTAATATAGGTATATTTGTTATTCTGATTGGCTTATATATTATTATTTGTTAAACATATTTTCAATTTGTAGGTATGACACTGAAGGATTTTTTGAAAAAATATCCACTGAAAAAATTACGTGCAGAAATGGGTGGTAATAGTCATTCTAGACGTATTCTTGGTCAAATCGGCGAAGACAAAAAAGTAAATGTACCTACTGGCATCACTGTTTATGATGATAAAAATGTGTTAATTGGTAAGCAATAATTATTTTTAACTGTTTAATTTTGTTTCATATTATAATTTATGTCGTTCTTTTTGTTAGAATAAGCATATGTATTTTACTTATACTTATACAGTATTATTTTGATAGACTGTTAATCGAGCTATTAATTTATTAGATCATTAAATATTTAAATGTAAATTTATTTCAAGCTACTATGATCGCTAAATACTTTCTATTATAGCTTCATCTGATATGTCTTGTTCAATTGTATGTTTGAAAAATTGTTTTAACATTATTTTTGACAAAATAAAAAATTAGATTTTTGTCATTAAAATAAATTTAATGTTACTACCTAACTATTTTTATATGTTTAATAATTATTTACAATAATTCTCTCATGTAATACTGTCTTTATTTTATAGGTGAATTAAACGAGCCAGATTCTGAATTAATAGTTGGCAAAGGTGGAGTTGGAGGCAACAACACAAATGGATATAGTGGTTTAAAAGGGGAAAGCAAATCTATTAAACTTGAACTTAAATTAATTGCTGATATTGGTCTTGTTGGTTTTCCAAATGCTGGAAAATCTACATTGCTGAAAGCTATTTCTAATGCTAAACCTAAAATTGCTTCTTATCCTTGTGAGTAATATATTTAAAAAAAAAAATTAAATATATAAATTATTTTATTTATTTACAGTCACAACCATAAGACCCAATATTGGTGTTATGACTTACGACGACTTGCGACAAATATCAATGGCAGACTTACCAGGACTTATAGAAGGAGCTCATTGTAATATTGGAATGGGACATAGATTTCTTAGACATGTAGAGAGGACAAAATTACTTCTCCTTGTTGTTGATATTAACGGTTTTCAATTAAATCCCAAGCATAAGTTTCGGTCATGTTTGGATACAGTAGTTTTGCTAAATAAAGTTGGTATTTTAATTGTATTGTAATAAAATAATCAATAAAATAATTATTTTCTTTACAGGAACTTGAGTTATATAAAGAAGAACTACTAGATAAACCTGCTATGTTAATAATTAACAAAATGGACACTGAAGGTGCTAATGAGAAATATTTAGAGATCAAAAATCAATTAGAACATTTAGATGGTAGGTTACTTGTCTTTTTTCAATATTGTAGTATTAAAAGTATTAATTTTACAATTACTTTTTTCAGATACAATTATGTCATATTCTGATGAAATAAAACCATCTAAAGCTATTAAGTTTGATAAAATTTTAAAGATATCAGCTAAAGATCAACCAGATGATGTGCAACGAGTAAAATCAATGGTTCGTGAACTCTTAGATATCAATGAAGAATTAAACAATAATATAGAATACAAATCTTTAAAAAATATCAAAGAACAACTAATGGAACGTGGTCCTGTGCTGATCTAAATTAATGTACAGTTACTTTGTACTTTACTTTTAATACCAGATTATGTTTTATTATTATTATTCTTTTTTTTGTTCCTGATTAAGACTTTATTTAAATAATTTAATGTTTTATTAAATGTTTGGTTCATAATATTATTTAAAACACGTTATGTGAAATTTATGGGAAGCTTTAAAAAGCTGAAAAATACACCAAAATAATGAAGTCACGAACTATAACACATCCAACATCTATGTATTATTATGGAGTTTAATATGCATTGAAAACATAATTCCTGTCCGTAAATTCAACAGAACATTGACTGAAAATAAATTGTCTGGATTTAAAACTTTAGGTAAATAATTAACAGAACTAAGTACATAATATAATTATTTAATATTTTGAATTTAAAATTTAAAGTTACAAAAAATATTTTACTGATTGAAAATTGAATAATTAACTTAAGATCTAACCCCTAACATTAGGTATTCAAAATATTAGAGTACATCAACATCATATCTATAAAATCTTATATTATTAAGAGGACACCATATCCGCATGTGTTGTCTCCATCTTACAAACTCGTAATATACCAAATTTACTCTCAGAAATTCAAGTTTTATGCCGTTAGTTCAAAAAATAAAAGTAAGAGTGAATCGACTTATTATGAAAGTTGATGGTAAGAACATTATCTGTGTTTTGTTGGAAATTGTTTTACGATAATTCAGTTTTTATGGAGGTTATGAGAATTTTTAATTTACATTTATTATACACGTATAACTCACTTAAAAACTGAATTATCGTGTATACACTTCCAACCAAACACAGATAATGTTCTTCCCATCAAGTTTCATAATTGGTCGATTCACTCTAATTTTTAAGCTAACTGCATAAAACTTGAATTTCTGAATGTAAATTTGGTATGTTACGCGTTTGTAAGACGGAAACATCACATGCGGGTCTGGCGTCCTATTAATGCATTTACCATTTACTTTTATACCCACATTGACTTTATCTAAAGCTTCCTGAAAAATGAATTCCGAGTATAAGTTAAACAGGAGTGGTGACGGGACGCATCTCTGTCTCACCACTCATTTTATTGGACTATCTTTCTGACTATCTTCTATAATTCTGCTTCCACATGTATAGCTGAGGTTTGATTCCAGTATAAGTTGCTTATTATTCTCAAATCCTGATCGTCAGTTCATTTCCAATATTTGTACAAGCTTAATGTATGCAACACTGTAGTATGCTGTACATCTACCTATTATAAGAAGTTATTTTATGAATTTTACATAGAAAAACAATGTTTAATAATTTATTGATGTTACAACTCATCAATCATCATATTTTAAATCAAAATATGAATACATCCCTACCTAATATTATAATAATAATTATAATATACATAAACATATAATAGGTTAACTATTTAGTCTTAAAAAATATATACTTAAACACACATTTTTTTTCAATAAAAATTGTTTACTACATGTTATTGCGGAGAAATTAAATTATCAAAACTATATACTTGTTCATTATACAAATCCATAGCCCAGAATGGTATGTATAATAGTTAATGTATAATTTAAATATGAATAAAAAATAGGTACCTACTCAAATATGTTTTCCTAGATTGGTTAACGGCAATTTAAATATTTAATAAGTTTAGAACGTTTTGAGATCGATAATTTACTTTGTGCCTCTGTTCCGCAATATTCATGCATAATTATAATTAATTATAATATAGTATTATAAGAACAATGATGAGTAGGTATCACTATCATAAACAATAAATTTAACAGTAGAAATTGATTTTAATTATATTTGTATTATTTTCAACTATCTAACTGCAAATGATTTTAATCTTTAAATATTTACTATTAATATAATAATATGTATGCCAATGGAAGGGTACTTGTCATTAAGCATAAAGTACCTGTATTACTGTAAATTGTAATCGGGATTCGTTAAACTTGAATTCAAAATAATTTTATTTCACTTTATTGTACCTATGTATTGAAATACTAATCTGAGCTTAGGTCTGTCACTTCTAAGTGATGTTTTATTATCCAGTTTTTCTGTAACTAATTTTGTTTTTGATTTTCTCGATTATTTCGAATGTTAATTTTATATTTTTTTGTTTACAATTTTAACCAACATTTTGTTGAAAACAAAATATGTTATACATCAAAAATTATTGTAAAAAATCTATGTTGCCATATGGCAACGCACGGTGTTAATGGGATTAACAGAAGTCGTTTCAAAAACAAAAAAAAATATAATCGTGATTTGTGGGTAAAGTACATTTTAACCAAATTAAATCAGAAATATCAACACATCAACCTCAAAAACATTCAAATAGCTTACAACTTACAAGTAAGTAGTAACAAGAAAGCATGCAATTAACATGGAAAAAACAAATCAACGATTGCTTACCAAATCGGGCCTCGGGTTAACCAAGAGGAGGGAACTTTCTAGTAACTGTTTGTTTAAGTATTTAAATCTGATATGATATTGTTACTTATCGATTTCAAGCTCCATGATTTTACGTCGAATTGCATGGTTTGACCATTTTCCTTTTCACTCAAAGACCTAAAACGTGAAGAATTTTTTTTCAAATGTATTTTATAATATGTGGTTATACCATCTGTATCATGAACTAAGAAACTAACTTCTTTGTTCATGATCTGTATATCATATTATATCACAGTCCACAGACTTACCGAAAGTTTTTTCCTTGCATAGCGGTTTAAATATTATAATAGAATATGTTTTTGGAAATGATTTTCCTTTATGAGTACATGTGTATTTTTCTTGTAATCAAGGAGAGACTTAAAAACAAAAGTCTCCAAACAAGCATCGGCCCTGCGGAATGCTAGAAGGCAGACAGGAAATAAAAAATTAATATTCAAGAGTTGTCTGACTCAGATAAAAAAGTACTTGGTGTTATGGGCTATGGCTATATTTAGAAGGGGAATCATGTCCAGATTTTTAGCCTGAAGAATAAGTATTAAAATATTTTTAATGTAACACAAAATACTATATTATTTAGTCTGGAGATGTAGAACGTATGGCTGTAGGAGACATTACCATTTTCAATTTTGGATGCAGTACCTACTAGGTTAACAACGAGACCGGATATTGATCACGACAGTAATTTTTTAACTACTCGTTTTTAGAAAACAATTCTTGAGGGACAATTAATTTCGAAGATATGCATCATTTAATGTAGGTCATGATGATAACTTCTTGCTTGGTGTGGAAAACTTAAACAATGTTGAGCTGGAATGTTTTGATTTTGATCAAAATATAACTGTCGAAAAAACAACATTCATTGCACTTAAACTAGTACACTTATGACCCCCAACTTCAGTACACCTTGCTATTTAAAAAGTCAATTATCACCAGTATTAAAAACACACAAAAGAAAATTGATGTCTCAAAATGAAAATAACATGGGTAGTAGTAATTGTTTTTTTTTTAAATTTTTATACTGCAATTATTATTATTATAATTTTGATTTAGTTTGCAAAAAATTAAGAACACAATTAAGTGATGCAAGAGAAACATTTTTGAAGTTGGCTGAAACCAATGCACAAAATACAGAAGTATATAATAAATAAATATGTATAAAAGTGGCTCAAAAAATTAAGTTTTCTTTTCATCTAGTATTAATTTGTTTTTAATAAAATGTGCATCGACACTAGACACTTATATTTGTACAATATGCATTTATACCTAACCTAACCTAACCTGCACCCTTGTCCCTCATTTTACATAAAAATACAAATTAATTTTCATGTCTAGATAATAAATATTTTACTATTATTTTAGCGGAACACAGGTATAAAATAATGTTTAATATTTAGGAGTTTTTGTAAACTTTACAGAACCTATAACAATCCATAACCCAACTTGAGGGTGCAATGACACAAATGGTAGACAAAGACGAAAGGAGAATAACAAATTATGAAAATTTGGTTATTATAATGAAGCAATTGATTGAAATAATAAGTAAAAATAAATTTTTTTTATGTAACTAGACTTATCATTATAATTATTTATATAAAAGTATCAATTTCTTCTTTTTCAATTACAAAAGGTGTCTTGTTCAAATTTTTTGTTTTTAATTAATATGTTTAAAGTCAACTATTACTATTGAATGTTATTGATAGTATTTTGTTGTTATATCAGTTTACTTATTAGTGATAACTGATAAATATTATTTATATAAAAACGTTAATAGTTAATATGTGTAATGTGTAAAATCTATAAAAAGTTATATCATAAGTACTAAATCAAGAGAATAGACTGATTGTATATATGTATACATAATATGTACCTATATATTAACGAAATGAATAATTTTTATAGTGGTCTCAAAAAAATTTTATTAATTATTTATTGAACACTTATAATTAGTATATTTATAAATATAGTTTTAAATTTTTTTTTTTAATTTAGTACAATTTATTAGTCACCATCGATATAATCAGGAAACCAGCTTGCCATCAATATTGTGTTTGAACTCTCATTGCAACTATTCTTGGTCCTTTTCTTTCAATTATTTCATTATGTCTTTCAATATTTTCATATTGCTGTTCTTGTTAAATATAGCCTTCAATTTGTTGAATAGGTAGACGATACTGAATTCGCATGTTGTGTCTAACAGCACATGCATTTTCTATTTTTCCTGCCATTTCAGGTGTATACATCATCACATGTTGGTATGACAAGCATCTCCACATGCTCTTAAAAACACCAACAACATTTTCTACAACGTTTCTTGCTTTGCAATGTTTTCTAGTATACATATTATATTGTCTTGTTCCTTCAGGATAATGAATGGATGGAAGTGGAGTTAAAAGCCAAGGCTCTAAGCATAACCAGCATCTCCTTAAAAATTAAATCAACCATAACAGAATTTAAAATTGGTATAAATCTACTTTACCGGACACCCTATATTAAATTATTTTGACCGAACAATTTATATTATACTGCTAAGTAATACGTACCTTCC